GAACCCATTTTAAATTTCGCGCCCGATTTTTCCTAACCTAACTAATATGGTCAATTGCATAATAATAGACCTATCTATTTTTACCTGTATGCGCGCGCAACACGAGGCAATGCATTTTTATTGGCCAACTAGTACAGGTGTGAAAGTAATCCTTTTGCACGCTGGGCATCTCCTTGTCCTTGTTCATTACCCGTAGTCTGACAAGGATAAAATTATGCTTGATATTCAACTTGACGTAGCTTGACAAGTGATCGATTTTCAATTGTTTGTGTTTTTGATTGACAAATAAGTTGCATGTCACGCGGTTTTCCTCCTTCCTTTTTTATCCCGTGCAAATAATAAGAACGGATTGCTATACGTAAGTCTAACATAATTTGGTACGTTTTGCCTCGTCTTGCGCAATAAACGTTCTGCGTCTTTTTCTATCTAATAAAGTTTTCGTATTATTACCTCTTTGTCTGGTAAAATAGATATGTCTATTGTCATCCAAAAAATATTTCTATTCGTAAATTATATTCTGGATAGCAGATGCTCAACCATGTTTCTTTCTAAAGGCTGATTGATTATCAATCAAGATATTATTATAGATGATAAAATCAAGCAACTGTCCATAAACCAGAGCTGGGCAAAGCCCTCAGTGAAAGGGCTTGAAGCACTAAGCCCTAAGCCCTTTCTCAAAGTGCTTTCAATTTCAAGCACAAATTCCTTTTTATTTTCAAAAGTGCTTCACAAGCACAAAGCCCTCAAAGTGCTTTGTGCTTGGCAAGCACAAAGTAATTTATAAAGTGCTTGGAGCACATCAAAAGTTTTTGGGGTGCATCAAAAAGGGCTTTGAAGCTCTTTAAATGTGCTTGAAGCTCTTGAATGTGCTTGAAGCTCTTTAAATGTGCTTGAAGCTCTTTAAATGTGCTTGAAGCTCTTCAAATGTGCTTGAAGCTCTTCAAATGTGCTTGAAGCTCTTCAAATGTGCTTGAAGCTCTTTAAATTTGCTTGATGCTCTTTAAATGTGCATGCAGCTTTTTAAATGTGCATGCAGCTTTTTAAATGTGCTTGCCCTTTGAATATACCCTGAAATCTTGAACAATAAAAATACAAAAGCTTACTTTCAATTTCCTCAGTTCATTCGAGGCTTCAAGCCTTTTCAACTTATCTGTATAAGTTGACTTACCTGTCAACCAATTAGGCAATTCAATCCATCTGTCAAAAAGGAAAATTCAATGTGACGTGGCGGCCAAACAAGTTTGTTTTGAATATGTTTTTATGCGTATTTTAAATTATTTTGCACACAGTTTTGCTTACAACTTTGATTTTCATTATTTAATAAAATATTTGTTGATTAGGTACCTAAACTATTAATTCGGGCAGAAACTAGATATTTTTTTGTGTTTTTTGGCCCATGTGTGGCCGCCACGCCATCTCGAATGTCACGTGGTTTGAATTGCCTAATTAATATTGAAATCCCCCATAATCAATACCACCCGATCAGTATCTATTATCCCTTCACATCATTACTCAAAAAAACTCAAGAACTCTGTGTCACTTGCATAATACAGCTAGCAAGTAATTCTTACCCCATAAATTTAACTCAACTGCAAGAAACCAGTCTTTTTTTTGCCTATGCAATTATTAACAAACACCCTGTGTTGACACTTGGCACAATTCACTCTTTCTCTGCCATTTTTCAATTCAATTCAATTCAAATAAGCTTTATTGTCCTAATTTTTTCAAAAGATCATTGACAAAGCAAATCTTAATTCTAAACAATTTTATTCATACCTATAACTACCTAATCTATGTCAACACTAAATAATTTCGTCTATAAAAATACAAATATAAAATTTGAAACACAGAAAAACAGTATAAAATTTACGAGCATGTAAAATCAACATTAAAATAAAATCAAAAACATTCACAAGATTATCCGACAAACAAACGAAGTTTTAAAGTTTATAAACATGATGTACACTTTAAAAAATTGAACAATTAACAAATAAACAATTAAATACAGATAAACAATTGAATACAGATAAACAATCCAAATTGTTCAAACTATCCAGATTACACAAGTCCAGGCTACACAAGACCATCAACAACCGCGCTTTGGCTTCACCTATTATAGAACTCTCCCAAACTATAAAAAGTTCCACCAATTAAAAATTCTTTAAGCTTTGTTCGAAACCTTTTATATACATTTATACTTTTAATGTCATCCGGTAAACTATTAAATATCTTTATTCCTTCGTAAATTACAGATTGTTTTGTCAGAGTAAATTTAGGGATGGGTAACGGTAAGTTGTTATGGTAACTTCGCAAATTATGAGACTCAGTTCTGTTAAAACCTTGAAATTTTTTATGTATAAGGCAAGCTATTTCCATTATAAAAATTGATGGAACCCTCAAAATTTCTTCCCGTAGAAAGAGTGGTCTACAGGTTTGCTGACAACTAACTCCGCACAAAGTTCTAAGGGCTTTTTTTTGTAAAATAAACACTGATTGAACAGAGGCTTGGGTTGAGAATCCCCAGAAGGGTATTCCATATCTGATATGAGATTCCATTCCATCAAAGCATAATAAGCTACTTTAGCTATATCTTTGCCCAACTCGTGTAATATATTTTTTATCAAATAGCAGCCTTGTGTTAATTTCTTATTAAGTAAATCAATGTGGGTTTCAAATTTAAGTTTAGAGTCCATGTGAAGACCAAGGAATTTAACAGTCGACTTTTCTTCCAGAGATTTATCATTTAGGGTAATGGTATCTAGTGAGCATTTAAATGATAGAATATTTGTTTTTGAAACATTAAATACAAGAGAGTTTGCGTCACACCATTCCTTTAATAAAACTAGATCTTTTTCTATGATATTAGACAAAACTGCTGCATCCTTGTGCTTCCATAGAATAGTCGTATCGTCGGCGAAATTTTCGAAGACACCAAGCATTGACAAAAGAGCAAGATCATTAATGTAGAGCAGGAAGAGAACCGGACCGAGTACAGACCCTTGTGGCACACCGCGAGATAGATTTAGAGTTTCTGAGTCCTCCTGTTTGGCATTCTTACAAATTGTTTTCTCCCAGACAAATATGATCCAAACCAGGTCAGCTTCCGCCCTCGGATACCATAATGGCCTAGTTTCCGCAGTAGTATTTTGTGACTTACGCAATCGAATGCTTTTGAAAAGTCACAAAACACCACCGCAGCCTTCTCACCATCGTTTAAACCAAAAAAAAAGACTCTCAAGGAGTGAAAACATTGCATCGTTTGCCCCTTTGCCTTCCTGGAATCCGAACTGGTTTGGAGCTAGAATGTTGTTATTTTTCAAATAATCAACTAGCCTCTTTTTTACTATCTTCTCTATAATTTTTGATAGCGTTGTCAACAAGGAAATGGGTCGATAAGAAGATGGATCATCTTCATTACCCCCCTTGAAGATGGGAAGAATTACCGCTAATTTAAGGCAGTCCGGAAAGTTTCCTGTTTCAAAGGATTTATTAATGCTACTGGCAAGACTTATTAAGGCATTGTCTGGTAAATGTTTAAAGATCTTCACTGATATGTCATCTATGCCAGACGAGTTTTGTTTCTTAATGTTTTTTAATTATTAATTCCAATTCATCTTTGTTTGTAGGTATCAGCCTGAAAAGTTCAGACTGATTACACGGAACAAGATAATTTAATGGATCGTTGCAAGTTTCCAAGCCATTCGAGAGTTTCTCAGCAATACTACAATAAAATTGATTAAGTTCTCTAGGATTCACATTTATATCTTTATTCTGTTTTGACTGTTTTCCTCGCATCTCACCCACGATCTTCCAGTATTCTGTCTTCATAGTGTTGTTTCTTAGCGAGTCTTATTATGAAAATTTTTTTGTACGACACAAAATAAACATTAAACCAGTTAGAGTTTATAAATTTTTTTGTGTGTGTAGCGATCTTAAATTTTTACCTGAAACTTTAATTCCTTTTGTTATCCACAATTTGTTTTTGTTTGTTTTAGTTTTTATTGTTTTGAAATATCCTTTCCCTTAATAATATATTTCCCCTCTGTCTTTAAATTCAATGACCCATTGTGAAACATCCTTGAGGAATCAATAATAGAATTAAAAGGAATAAACTGTGCAAGCTGACTTCCCAAACATAACTGATTATAAACAAATTTGTTATGCTCATTAATAAAATTATTAAGAATTATGTTATTATTCCATAAAGGCACTGTGTACATTAGTACATTTGTATAATTTGCAACTTCCATAATTTTCCCTATTGTTAAATTTTGGTTTAATCTGTGATCTGACTACAAAACTATTGTTTACATATTTATCCAGAATGTCCCTAAAATGACAACCTAATATTAAAACCCTATTTTTTTCTTTTGTATTGCTTTGCTCTAAACACTCTATTGAAGATCCTGATTTCACCATTTCATTTTTCAACTCCCTCAGCACAGTTCAGTAAGATTCCCTCTCCGCTTCCAGTGTCTGAATAGTAGTTAACATCTGCTCTCCTGTCTCCTTTAAATTTATAAGGTCCTCCTGTTTTCCTTGATTTACCAATTCCTCCAGTTTCCTGTTCTATCCATCCAACAAAAAAAAAATATATCGAGCATGGACATATTTAAAGTACCTGAAGATTCCAACTACTGAAATTGTTTACAGGGCTGTTGGAGTTTCATAGGTAATTTTAACAAGAACAAGTTATGTAAGGCAGACTAGGTATTGTGACATAAGTTTTTGAGGAAAGCTCATAGATCCACAATTTTGGTAAAATCTTTTATTCTGAGAGCCACTAAGGCAAAAAAATTTCATGTAAAGCTGTTTAAAATGTACATAAAATAAATTTCCATGTGGGCCTTACAATGTTATTATTTTATAATTTTTGTAACGCTATCAAGAACCTTTATGTTATCGACTGCATAATAAATTATTGTTTCCGACACAATTGCAATCACATTAATAAATAAAAATCACTCATGAATTTTTCAAAACTGTATTTTTTTTTTCAGATCTAGTCTTATTGCCAGTTTAGGAAGCGCAGTAGCTTCAACCCCTCTGGATGTTGTTAGGGTAAAGAAAGAATTTACTCAGTTGACACACAATTTCTAATTTTTTATTTTCAGACTCGTTTAATGAACCAAAGAAAACTGAAAAAAGCAGGAAATACAGTTCCTTATAAAATCTACAAGGGAACCTTGGACTGTTTTGTGCACACATTCAAAAACGAAGGTTTCTGGGCATTTTATAAAGGTTTTATTCCCACATGGGTCAGAATGGGACCATGGAATATTATATTTTTCGTCACCTTTGAACAGTTGAAGCATTTTTATTAGATTTTGACACTATTTATAGACTCACTGTGGACAGTAGCTTATTCCCAAGTTTTTTAATTATCATTTACTTATTTATTTTTTAGAATTAATACCTATGTATATAAGTAAACATTTGAATAATAATAATAAAACAATTATTCAAACATCAATATCTAAGTGTTATTATGTTGAAACTGGGTTTTGGTACAAAAGTGATTGGCCTCTATGGCAAAAAGTATAGAACGAAGGAACATTTCTGAAAGTTTCCCATGATTTGTTATCCAAATCAGCAGAGGCTCTTATTTCTTTAAATTCTCCTGCTAGATTCAGTACTGCATACATTATCATGAACAAACTGGTAATGGCTTGGAGAATTATCTAAAAAAAGTAAATACATAGTTATTTCTGCTTTGTAGGATAAGGAATCAAATGAATTATTCAGACTCGATCCAATTGATTTGTCATGCCGATCTCTGATCTCATTACTCACATCAAAAGGCAATCTTGTAAATTCCAGTTCATTTAATCTTAAATAGGAGTGATCTGAAAAAAAAAGTAGGAATTTATCAGGTATGTATTGATTTGTTCAAAATCAATTAGAGAAATAGGGATTTTTCTGGTTGAATCTCGAACATACTTAAAGGACGACTAGGACGAGTTGCACGAATAAATAAAGGCTGGAGCATAGGGCAGAATATTGAACTGGTTAAGAGCAATTTGAGGTGGTACCTACTTATTTAAATAGGTACTTACGTTGTGCTGCTGAATAGGCTGCATGAAACATACTCAAAAATCCAACGGTCAAAATTAATTTATGGATAGTCCCTGCCATTGTTGTGGTATTTTCCACGAAAATATCTTATAAAAATTGCAGATTTCAAACTTATATTAGCAAATCCAGCAATCTACATAAAATCTAAAATAGTAGCAATCATAAAATAAACGAAAAAAGTGAGGTTTGAGTTTGAGTGGAGTGGTTTGTTTGACTGACTGGTTAGTTTGACGGTAAAATACAGATCACAGTCAGTCGATAGTAGAAATCGATGAATGATGATATAAGGTGGGTTCGGCTTGCTCACTCCGAGTGACTTCATTCGCACTCCAGCCGTTCGGGTATTGCTTTTTGGCGTAATAGGGGTGACTCCGTTAGCGTTCGACTATACGGAGTGGAGTAAATGGAGTTTACTCCAAAAGTTCCACCTCGGAAAGATAATTGTTTAGAGTAAGCATACGCAGAAGTGAAATGTGTAAGCTAAACTGTCCAGCTTGTTATTGTGTTGTCACGTTGTGGGTGGTTGTTGTTAAAAAAATTAAAAATCGAGTAATAGGTCTGTTCCAACACTACAGACAGTCCCGAGTCCGGTCCCATGAACCAAAACAACTCTGGGTGAGTTCGGCTTGCTCACTCCGTGCACTCGGAGTGACTCCATTCGCACTCCAGCCGTTCGGGTTAAGGTTCGGGTATTGCTTTTTACGGTATCAGGGGTGACTCCATTAGCGCTGTTCACTCCACTCCAACTCCGCGCTGAATAGCCGAACTCACCGTCTGTATACGAATTTTGGTTTGTACGCACAAATTTTAGGTTTTGTGCAGAATCATATACGGTTTCCTTCTTATGGGAAGCCGCATTTCAATAGTTGTATTCCTATTATAAAGAGTTTAGAACACTAGAGCTACTGGCTCCGGTGTTAGTCAACGCCGGTTTAAAATTTGAAAGGAACAGATGCGCTGGCTTTCGTGCATTCAAATGGTTTGATTCGGGCTTGAGCACTTGAGGTGCAACAAACACTTTTCGAAAGGAATAAGCGCGTAACGCTCCGAGAGCCTGGGTTGGATAAACTTTTGGAAGTGGTCCGGGAAATTTCAGTCTAGCGGCCCATACTTTGATGGGGCACATCCCCATATTTATATGTAAGAATAAAAAAATTAAAAAATAACTCTCAGATTACATCTTTAGTTTATCTATTTATTCATATGCCTCAAAGATGACAGCAAGCATAGAAGAATATTCTGCATTCATCAGTGTTGTTCAAACAGGCACAATTGTGCCAAAAGTGGCACTTTTCGCCCGCAAAATGCACGGTGGCACCACTTTGAAAAATTTGGCACGATTCATATTGATTAGATATTATCCTTTTTCAAATTTTTAAGATGAGAAAGACTGGACCTGGAGCAGGATTTTTCGTTTATTTGTATTCTATTGTATTTTTTGTTCATTTTATTTCTGTGCTAGTGACCTCAGAGTCCTCAGACCTATCTGCGGGCGTGTTCTTTTTTCCACCAAAAGTTTATGTTGATTTCCACCAAAAATTTACTGTTGCATCAGTTTATTTCTGTCACGCGACTCTTTGATGGCATTGGTGGAAGCACCACATACCCACCACAATTTACATAAAAGAACGCTTTGGTGGACCAAAATCGAAATATCTATATAAATGTTATATAATCTGTGCTGCTAATTCAGAAAAATTGGAATGGATAATGCGAGTAATGCTGCCATTGCAAAGCGAAATAGAAGACTCCTCAGAGGATCTCAATTTCCTTTGCAGTCATTTTTTTTACTGAATGTGACAAATCATTGTAGATAAAAGTTACGTCATCAGCTTACTGGTTCTCCTTTCCTTATCTTATAGCTTCAAACAAATGAGCTAAAAAAACAAATCAAAGACTATGCGGGTCACACAACAAGCAGTAGTTAATTTTCTAAGGTTATGTGGTCTACCAACGCAAAACCACCAGAGTAATCACAGAAAATTTCTGTTGGAGCTTGGTTGCATAGGGGTTTTCATCGGATGAAATCCACCATAAATTCACCAGTAAAATAAGAACGCGGTGTGGTGGACTATCATATTTCCACCATCAATAAAAAAACGTTTTGGTGGCATCATGTTTTCACCTGGTGAATGTCTGATGGAAAAAAGAACGCCCCCTGCCTGTGAGAATTGTGGTGGATCTGTCGGTCTTGGGCTCTGTCGATGTGAATATTCTCCTTGGATGTGAGTAGAGTTAAGACTAGTGATAGTAGTTGTATTCCTTTCAAGAGTTTGAAACACTCGAGCTACTCGCTCCGGTGTTCAGGAGCCCCCAATTTGCAGGGAACAGATGCGTGGTGCAACAAACACTTTTCGAAAGGAATAGGGGCGTGAAGCCCCGGAGCTGTTCCGGAGCTTCTCCTAGGTGTGAAAGGAATACAACTCTTGACTCTTGACGTGACTGTCAATTGTCATTATAGTGAATTTAATATATGAAATATATTATAGGCGATTTCGGCAAGCTTTGGTTGGTATACCATTTGGTTAACCAATTGGTACCTGCAACGTCATAGTAATGACGTAAGATACCATTTTGTTCCGAATTCGTTTGGTAGGTCATAAGAGAGGGGAAGAGACGAGCCTTAACCTAAGTTTGTGTTGTTCTTCTAGTTTTGGGAGTGACTAGGTACTGACTGCACTGACTAAAATGTATAATCACTAATCAGCACTGTCTAGACAGTACCTTTGAGTAACTCTGCGTTTTCTGTAAATTTAAAGCTGTTAAAGTTACCTCATATCTGTCGTTCAAAGCCGTTTTTCAAATGATCGTCAAACATTATTTGGCAGTCAAAACATACGAGAAATCAGGAAGATGAAGGCGAAAAAACAAACATATTTGTTAAAAATTTCAAATTATTCAAATTCTAATGAACTTCCATTTATTTACATTTTCCAGAGCAGGACAAAACGAAAATAGACGTAGATAGCACTATACCAAATAGAAGAACCGTGCTGCTGACCACGGTATCCTATTTGACAGACCAAAAAGGATACCAAAGTCACGGTGACGACATCATTTTCGTATCCGAAATTGGTTGGTATGCATTTGACAGACCAAACAGGGTACCAAACCATGTACCAAAGCTTGCCGAAATCGCCTTATATCTTTCTCCTTTTAGTCATTTAATAAAAAGAAATGGGTAGAAAGTCAATTTATTAAGTAAGTGGCACTATTTGGCACTATTTGAGTGTAGCTGCAGGCACACACGAAAATTCCCCAAGAACAACCCTGGCATTCATACAAAACATTCAAACAACAAAGCAAATATTGTTTGCAACGTGAATGTGATGAACACTTTTTTAGAAAGTTCTAATTCATTCCCTGCGTCATTTGCATCATCTTCATTCCCATCGTTGGATTCAGGAGATCATACAACTCCGTCCTTTTCGAGTCAGGCCATTCTCTTCCAAAATCCTTTATTTCTTTCCGTAAAACAGCCCTGTCATCATATTCTAGTAATTTACCTAATTTATTCAAAGCTTAGTCTAGCACTAGTTCCGAAAAATTGTTTGGATCCAAAATGAAAAATAAGCACAAATATATATCTCTATGCCTAGAATGGGATGCCTCTATTTTGGTTAATTATGGTTACATAGTTACTTCCACCTCAAATTATGAAAATAGTAGTAGCTGAAGCGAAATTATTAAAATAGGTGAGACGCTGATGAAGCACGTAAAATCCCAACTAAAGCCTAGTACTCATAACTGCGAAATTCGCATTTTTTTGACGTTTGATACACGCATAAAACGTCAAATTGTCAACGCAATGTCAAAAAAATGCGAATTTCGCAGTTATGAGTACTAGGCTTAAGTGGCGAAATGCAGAAGTCATCCTGTTATACAAGAAAGGAGACAGAAACAACCTGGATAATTATCGAACTATCAGCTTATTATCACACTTATATAAACTGTTTCCGAAAATAATACCCAAACGGTTGACGAACAAGATGGACTCATATCAACCAGCCGAAGAAGCGGGATTGCGTAAGGGGTTTAGTACTCTCGACCACCTACAGGCACTTCGTACTCTTATTGAAAAAGCCACAGCCCAGAGTATAACACTCCATTTAGCCTTTGTCGACTACCAGAAGGCTTTTGACTCTGTCGAAACTTGGGCAATTCTGGAATCCCTCTCAGGGCCGGCCCTACCATAAGGCGAACTGAGCGAGCGCTCCAGGCGCCAGACCTCGGGGGGCGCCTCCGATTCGTTCCTTGGTGATTAAAAAAAGAGAAAAATTATTTTTAAATCCTGTCTCCGCTTTTCGATATTCTGCTTGTGACCGAGTTAATATGTGAATCCCATGTGAATAACCTGTCGCGACGTTTTTATGAGACGCGCACAGCGTCGTGGGCACGGCGTCGCCTCTACATGATCATTCATAATAACGATATTTCAAGATTAGAACGTTTGAGCACAGCTTGTTTAAGGCCCGGTTTATTCATTTCCAAGGTGAATTTGCTGGTAACTCTCTGCAAGATAAATTTACCGATCTATAATTCTATTGTGAAACGGGTAACGCCGACCAATGGGATTGCAGATTGCCTTTTCATCTGTCAAATTGCATTACCTGACAGTTTCTCAAAAAGTGAAAAAACCGGCCCTGAGAGAGTCGAAAGATAAATACATGTTCGAAGAAGTTATTAGAGTGATAAAGGTCACCCAAAAGCAGTACTCTAGAACTTAGCATAAAATAATTGGCAATATACGTTTCCTAATTATTTTTGTAACCATTCCTGTGGCGAAAGGTAAACGGAGCTTAAGTTAATTAGGACACACCTTATAGGTCAACTCTAGCAGAAGGCAACTTTTCTCATCCTCATTGAAAATGATATAGCTCAGAATTGTCATATGGGGATCATAAACAAATTTGCAAATGCAGAAGTACGTAAGCAGCGATTCACTTTAAATTTTGTGTTTTGCTTGTTCGATTTTCATATTTATAAGGGCGGTTTATTCTCCTTCTGATAAACTATCAGGTAATGCAATATGACGGATAAAAACGCTACCTGCAATGCCATTAGTTGGCTAGTTATTCGCTGACCAATATACATATAAAGGTGCGTTTAGACTTGAGCACGCACGCACTGAGCGACCGCGAATGCTCTAGTGTAAACGGCTGTGCGTGCACGCTCGCTCTGAATCTTTCTGTGCGCGAATAGCTGCGAACGCGAGTCGACCAGTGTCGGTCTCTGGTACATGCT